TATTGTACTTCCAACTGGGCCACTACTTAGGGATTTAAATTTCCTGTTACTGACATAGCGGATAACTTTTGGAGTACACCTTATTATCCCTCATACCACACTACCTGTATGGCCCCTCAAGGAAGGCTTCTTTATGTTGGTGAGGGGCTCTTGATAAAGGGAGCTAGATCTGCACTCCAGTTTCCAGAATTAAGCCTGACTACCTTCCATGCCCCTACAGGTGCTGTATAATCCTACAGGTTTAGCGCTTCCCCCTTGATTATAATAATAATAATATGCCTGTATGGCTCCTGTATCCCTGAACAGAATAGTTGAATTTCTTGGCCTTCTGTTGGATCGCCAAATGTCCTGGAAGCCTCGCATAACCTCCCTGAAAGCTGCTTGTCACAGCTACCTGAACCTCCTTAAAACTTTTAGAGAGCTGATAAATGAACCCTTCTTTACCTTTATCCCTACTCTTATCTAAACCTGTCTACAGTAACCAAATATATATTCTTCAGCCTCCTCCACTCTTTCAACACCTGACCCTATTCATCATCAAGAGTTACATCTGTTGAAAGCCTAAATATAGAGGCAAGCATTCAGTCTTTACAAGATCAGCATGATGCCCATAGTCTTTATTAATTTATTCGCTTCTATGACCTTCCTGATCTTTCCATGTATAGAATGCTATACATGGAAAAGGTAGGGTTAATCTGTTTAATCGTCGCCTCTATTTATTATGCCCGTTCTCTCTTCCTATTTGCTGTCTAATTTACCTACCCTTTATGTTCACCCTCTGTTTTACTTTTCCCTTCCTCCTTGGAAAGTTATGAACTTATGATGATTCGTGTTTACACTTCTATGTGCAAAAGCTCATTTCCTTCTAACTTTACGATCCCTCTTGATCACTTCCAATCTCTCTCTCATTTTTGCAGTGTACACTGATACCTCTAAATCCCCTGATGGTGTTGAGTGTGCAACTTTTTCCTGAACAAATCATCAGAGGTTATTTATTAAAATCGGCTAATATTTTCACAGTGGCATTATATACAATTCTCACTTCTATCAGATAAGATTTCGTTCGGATTTTTAACCCCGGAGGGTTAGCCACCAGGATAACCCAAGAAAGTCAGTGCGTCATCGAGGACTGTCTAACTTAATTCCATTGGGGTCCTTAATCTTGTCCCCCAGGATGCGACCCACACCAGTCGACTAACACCCAGGTACCTATTTGCTGCTAGGTGAACAGGACAACAGATGTAAGGAAACATGTCGAAATGTTTCCACCCGCCGGGAATCGAACCCGGGCCCTTCGTGTGTGAAGCGGGAGCTTTAGCCACCAGGCCACTGGGCCACATTGCAATCATGTCTGCCTCATAGTTGTATGGGACTACTAAATTGCCTTACAGGCTATCCAGAAATTCATCTCTCCATCCTATTGTCCTTCATTTACAGCTTTGACTCTGTCACATTTTTAGTAAGCTGGGTCCCTGAACGTGCCGATATTCAGGACAATGAACAAGCAGACTCAGCTGCTCGTTCAGCTATTGAAGACCTCCAGATTTCTCAAATGGTTATTCATTAAGTGGACTATTTCTTAGTGCTCTCACCACTACAACCACTGACAACATTAGTCTACACTGGACCACAGCAAATTGTTTTCTATCAAATTGAGTTTAGGATTTTGGAAGACTATACTCATGGTTATGTAATGGACACGTGACTCAGAAATATCACTTATAGAAACAACAGGCACCACTTTGTGAGGGCTGTCAAATTGCACTGTTCAACATATCTTAATAGACTGTCCCATCCATCAGGATGCACACAGGATCCACTTCTGATATCTGAACCGCCCAACACGCTCTTTCCTGAAAGCCCCACCTCTGACACTGAGTTTTTAACTGAAACTAACCTAACCTATTACACCCTTACCTCTTGCTCACTCTTAATACCTTCACACATACTTGATGTATAGCCCTTGTGGCTTAGCGCTTCTTTTTGATTATAATAATAATAATTCACATATACTTTCGCACATCCATTCCCAGAATGCTGTATGGCCCTTATGGGTTTAGTGCTTGATCTGATTATAATAGTATACAAGCCACACCTGAAAAAGCATGCTAAGGGACTGGAGAAAGCGTAAAGGTATGCAATGCGAGTTAAGGGGTATGAGCTACTGGGAAAGGCAATCAGAACTGAACCTAACAAACCTGGAGGCTGTATAACCCTTGTGGGTTTAGCACTTAGTTATGATTATAATAATTATAACAACACTGGAGGACAGAAATCCAGGGAAGACATTTTAACAATATACAAAATACTCTGAGGAATTGACAGAGTAGACAAGTATAGACCGAAAGGTTTGTAAAATTTTAATGCAGCAAAATAAAAGATATGTATACATGAAATATGAAGATATGTACGTTTACATGAAATCGTAAAAACACGTTGCAAGCAAATCATTGAACGGGTGGGGCTTAAACCCATGGCAAATGAATCCTAAAACTCAAGAACAGTGCATTAACCACTGGGCCGTGGGCCAGATGGCTCAAGTAAGATTCATCCAACTAGGTATACGTATTTCTATACACCATAGGAAGGTTAGCATGGGCCACCACTGTGACCACAAATGCATGTTTTTTTACAGAAAAATCCCAAACCAATGTGACCACAGTGTATGCCCAATGTGCCATGCATAACAGGAGCCTTTCTGTAAAGTTTATACATGTCAGTTACCCTAAATGTATAATGTACAGCACATCACTTTAAAGAAATATAGGTTTTTGTTCGGTTTATATGCGGTTGCAGGTGTCAAGTCATAGTTCCTGGCCCCACAACATACTGTATGACCCCTCCCACTCCTCTAATCCCGATGGGCTCTATCGTACCTGGAGTTTACCTGGAGAGAGTTCCGGGGGTCAACGCCCCCGTGGCCCGGTCTGTGACCAGGCCTCCTGGTGGATCAGAGCCTGATCAACCAGGCTGTTGCTGCTGGCTGCACGCAAACCAACGTACGAGCCACAGCCCGGCTGATCCGGAACTGACTTTAGGTGCCTGTCCAGTGCCAGCTTGAAGACTGCCAGGGGTCTGTTGGTAATCCCCCTTATGTGTGCTGGGAGGCAGTTGAACAGTCTCGGGCCCCTGACACTTATTGTATGGTCTCTTAACGTGCTAGTGACACCCCTGCTTTTCATTGGGGGGATGGTGCATCGTCTGCCAAGTCTTTTGCTTTCGTAGTGAGTGATTTTCGTGTGCAAGTTCGGTACTAGTCCCTCTAGGATTTTCCAGGTGTATATAATCACGTATCTCTCCCTCCTGCGTTCCAGGGAATACAGGTTTAGGAACCTCAAGCGCTCCCAATAATTGAGGTGTTTTATCTCCGTTATGCGCGCCGTGAAAGTTCTCTGTACATTTTCTAGGTCGGCAATTTCACCTGCAATTTCCCTTCCGTACCTGCACGTAACTTGAACATCACCTGTCAAGAATACTTTAATACCAAAAATAGGGATTAAAGTAAACCCCTGGTAAGTTATACATCCAGAGATACGCCCACTCTGCCTACATACATAGGCAGAGCGGGCTGGGCTTATGGATACGAGATTGATTTTTGTGAAGAACAAAAAGACACAATACCATGACTGAAAAATACACAAATGCTTCTTTCAACTATGTGCCTTATTTGTGTGATTTTTTTTTGTGGTTTAAAACCACTCAGTTGGATTTTACTTGTACACTGCCAGTTCAGAATATTTCAAGTTCTACAACAAGGTTAAAATTTTAGTACACATGAAAAACATGAACCAATAGGTCTCTTTTCCAGCATGAGCCAGTAGACCTGCCTAGTATGAACCAGTAGATCCGTCAAGCATGAGCCAGTAGACCTGCCTAGTATGAACCAGTAGATCCGTCAAGCATGAACCAGTAGATCTGTCAAGCATGAACCAGTAGGCCTGCCTAGCATGAGCCAGTAAATCTGCCTAGCATGAGCCAGTAGACCTGCCTAGCATGAACCAGTAGATCTGTCAAGCATGAGCCAGTAGACCTGCCTAGCATGAGCCAGTAAATCTGCCTAGCACGAGCCAGTAGACCTGCCTAGCATGAACCAGTAGACCTGCCTAGCATGAACCAGTAGATCTGTCAAGCATGAACCAGTAGATCTGTCAAGCATGAACCAGTAGACCTGCCTAGCATGAACCAGTAGATCTGTCAAGCATGAACCAGTAGATCTGTCAAGCATGAACCAGTAGGCCTGCCTAACATGAACCAGTAGATCTGCCTAGCATGAACTAGTAGATCTGCCTAGCATGAATTTGTAGACATGCCTAGCATGAACCACTAGACCTGCCTAGTATGATCCAGTAGACATGCCTAGCATGAACCACTAGACCTGCCTAGTATGATCCAGTAGACATACCTAGCATGAGCCAGTAGACATGTCAACCATGAGCCAATAGACATGCCTAGCATGAGCCAATAGATATGCCTAGCATGAGTTTGTAGACTGTAACAGTAGACATGCCTAGCATGAGCCAGTAGACCTACCAAGCATGAGCCAATAGACCTGCCTAGCATGAGCCAGTAGACCTTCCTAGCATGAGCCAGTAGGCCTCCTGGTCTAGTCTAGGCCAGTAGGCCTCCCCCCCACGTGCATGACTGGCAGCCCTGCGCAAGGTGAGCCTCACTTGTGAACTTTAAATCTCCCGCCAGGTGCTGGCGCCATTTAAAACCAGCACAACAACACCCAGGGAGCTGCTGTACACACGTGCCCGTCCTCACATGTTAGTCACAGTGTGTTTTTCCAGCCACGGCACTGATTTTACGCAGCTGTAATAGCGGCAGGGAGAAGTCTATTGTGTCTGCGGGTGTTTGGTGTGGTTAAAACGAAAAAGAAAAGGGTTTTGTTGGGTAGTAAGTAATGCGGGGAGCTTCCCCTAGTGAGGCTTGATGCTCTGGAGCTCGTGATCCAGGGGTTGGGAGCTGCCCTCCTCTTCCTCAGTTATGAATGCAATTGCCTCCCATTCCTCCTCCAGGTACTGTATGACCCCTACAGGTTAAGCACTTCTGAGAGAGGCTACTAGAGCTTGACGTGAGAGACAGTTGGTTCATTGACGCTGCTCAGGGGCTCTTGGTCAAAGGAATTGGATCTGTGTTCCGGTACCCTAAATCGAGCCTGAATACTTAACCCTGCCATCACTGATTTTTTAGGGTTAATTTACACTGATAATTGTACATCTGTACCTGTGCTAAATAAAATTACTTAATTAGTATTGGCACTATTTTATTCATATTGGGTCCAGTGCATAACACAGCACTAAGCATTGATTTCCTCAGATATGCTGCATAACCTGAAGTACAGTAATTTTTTTGTTTTTGTTTTTTGGTAATATCTCCCAGAATTACAAATTTCACAAGAAATATGCAGCACTGTATGACCCCTGTGGGTTTAGTACTAAGTTATGATTATAATAATAATTCACAGGAAATAATTACTTATTCTGTGTTGTAAAATGTAAACTATGCACAAGTTCTACTGAGTACTGGTTGTAAACTTTAGTCAGATCTTCTAACTAGTAGTAATCTGATCTAAAATCAGGTCAAAAAATATATAAGTGTTAGCAGTAAGGAAGTGGATACAACATTGAATGTTGGCCCTTGTCAGAATTTGGACATTATTTTATTTTTTAATATACAAGCATGCTATACCGTGGCAGAATTAGTTACATTTTTTTTTTTTTTATTATCGCACTGGCCGATTCCCACCAAGGCAGGGTGGCCCGAAAAAGAAAAACTTTCACCATCATTCACTCTATCACTGTCTTGCCAGAAGAGTGCTTTACACTACAGTTTTTAAACTGCAACATTAACACACCTCCTTCAGAGTGCAGGCACTGTACTTCCCATCTCCAGGACTCAAGTCCGGCCTGCCAGTTTCTCTGAATCCCTTCATAAATGTTACTTTGCTCACACTCCAACAGCACGTCACGTATTAAAAACCATTTGTCTCCATTCACTCCTATCAAACACGCTCACGCATGCCTGCTGGAAGTCCAAGCCCCTCGCACACAAAACCTCCTTTACCCCCTCCCTCCAACCTTTCCTAGGCCGACCCCTACCCCGCCTTCCTTCCACTACAGACTGATACACTCTTGAAGTCACTCTGTTTCGCTTCATTCTCTCTACATGTCCGAACCACCACAACAACCCTTCTTCAGCCCTCTGGACAACAGTTTTGGTAATCCCGCACCTCCTCCTAACTTCCAAACTACGAATTCTCTGCATTATATTCACACCACACATTGCTCTCAGACATGACATCTCCACTGCCTCCAGCCTTTTCCTCGCTGCAACATTCATCACCCATGCTTCACACCCATATAAGAGCGTTGGTAAAACTATACTCTCATACATTCCCCTCTTTGCCTCCAAGGACAAAGTTCTTTGTCTCCACAGACTCCTAAGTGCACCACTAACCCTTTTCCCCTCATCAATTCTATGATTCACCTCATCTTTCATAGACCCATCCGCTGACACGTCCACTCCCAAATATCTGAATACATTCACCTCCTCCATACTCTCTTCCTCCAATCTGATATCCAGTCTTTCATCACCTAATCTTTTTGTTATCCTCATAACCTTACTCTTTCCTGTATTCACTTTTAATTTTCTTCTTTTGCACACCCTACCAAATTCATCCACCAATCTCTGCAACTTCTCTTCAGAATCTCCCAAGAGCACAGTGTCATCAGCAAAGAGCATCTGTGACAACTCCCACTTTGTGTGATTCTTTATCTTTTAACTCCACGCCTCTTGCCAAGACACTCACATTTACTTCTCTTACAACACCATCTATAAATATATTAAACAATCACGGTGACATCACACATCCTTGTCTAAGGCCTACTTTTACTGGGAAATAATTTCCCTCTTTCCTACATACTCTAACTTGAGCCTCACTATCCTCGTAAAAAAACTTCACTGCTTTCAGTAACCTACCTCCTACACCATACACCTGCAACATCTGCCACATTGCCCCCCTATCCACCCTGTCATACGCCTTTTCCAAATCCATAAATGCCACAAAGACCTCTTTAGCCTTATCTAAATACTGTTCACTTATGTGTTTCACTGTAAACACCTGGTCCACACACCCCCTACCTTTCCTAAAGCCTCCTTGTTCATCTGCTATCCTATTCTCCGTCTTACTCTTAATTCTTTCAATAATAACTCTACCATACACTTTACCAGGTACACTCAACAGACTTATCCCCCTATAATTTTTGCACTCTCTTTTATCCCTTTGCCTTTATACAAAGGAACTATGCATGCTCTCTGCCAATCCCTAGGTACCTTACCCTCTTCCATACATTTATTAAATAATTGCACCAACCACTCCAAAAACTATATCTCCACCTGCTTTTAACATTTCTATCTTTATCCCATCAATCCCGGCTGCCTTACCCCCTTTCATTTTACCTACTGCCTCACGAACTTCCCCCACACTCACAACTGGCTCTTCCTCACTCCTACAAGATGTTATTCCTCCTTGCCCTATACACGAAATCACAGCTTCCCTATCTTCATCAACATTTAACAATTCCTCAAAATATTCCTTCCATCTTCCCAATACCTCTAACTCTCCATTTAATAACTCTCCTCTCCTATTTTTAACTGACAAATCCATTTGTTCTCTAGGCTTTCTTAACTTGTTAATCTCACTCCAAAACTTTTTCTTATTTTCAACAAAATTTGTTGATAACATCTCACCCACTCTCTCATTTGCTCTCTTTTTACATTGCTTCACCACTCTCTTAACTTCTCTCTTTTTCTCCATATACTCTTCCCTCCTTGCATCACTTCTACTTTGTAAAAACTTCTCATATGCTAACTTTTTCTGCTAACTTTATCCCCCTATAATTTTTGCACTCTGTTGTCCCCTTTGCCTTTGCATGCTCTCTGCCAATCCCTAGGTACCTTACCCTCTTCCATACATTTATTAAATAATTGCACCAACATCTTGTACCAATTAATTTTTGTTTTGGAAATATAGCATTTGCAAAATTCATTCCTAACAAGTTTAAAACTTTCGAAGGCCAGTATTGTTTAGTATTATCACACGATGCCTGGCAAATCACAGCAGATACTAACATTTACACATGCATTTCCACATAAATGATAATGGAACAGATTCTTATTGTGATACATGTAAACTCACTTTTTACAACTAAATTTTCTGTAAATTTGTCATGTTAGTAAGAGTATCTCCTGATTAATTTTCTGTTAAGTTATATGAGGTTTGGTGTGGTTACATTAGGTTCTGTTAGGTTATGTCCAGTTACGTTAGATTATGCTAAGTTTTTTCTGATTTGCACAACTTAAAATTATCTCCATAGCACTACCCACTTAATATTTGATAATTTAAATTATAATTATTGATAAACTCAGTAAACAAACATTAAATATTTCCTGGAGGTGGCTATTTGGCAGACTGACGTGTAGCAAACAGTTTATTAAAGGCTAGTTACATCTCAGTTGATAGCAACTGGTTTATAGGTAAATTTACATAAACATTCAAATGAACCTTTGACTGTCACAACCCCAATTCTGAAACTGTCTCCCTGTGTTGCAAAATATTAAAAAAAAAGTTGATTTTTTCTTAACAAAATTTTAGAAGTAATTTGCCGAGTGTTTTAAGCCTAAAATTTTTTTTTTTTGCGACCAGTACTTATTGAGATATAGAGGCTTAAAGTTGGCAGAAAATGAGCCGTGTATGGCAACAGTGGTGAATGCCGCTCACCTGGTACACTTATATTTACGTACTCCCATTCGAAGGTTTCTTGTATTTTCCAATATTTTTTTTCCAAGTAACTCATGTGGCCTGTGAGACCAAAGTAAAGTGCATTGTACATATATACACTCATATGCAACATAATAACCGCACAAACATTATTATCATTATATTGTTTACAAAACTTGTTTACAGAAACCAACAATACAAAAATTTTTTTATTGCTATTGTTCTATAATATATATACAAATGTACAATCACTGGTCATGTTCCTAGAAGTTCTGCAGCTTGTGGAACATTTTGAAACATGGTTTCATGCACAATGGTATTTTACACTCCTCACACACAAAATAAATGTGTCTGCATTTTTGTGGGCATTTTTTTGCATGTGCACAGACAAAACGTCTCGTCTGAGGAGTTTTCTTCAAAGTAGTAGCAGGCAGTTGTGTTAGGTAGTTATCCTAGGTAAATGGTGGTGTCATCATTCCTTTCTTCCTACCTTCCTAGATTTCTTCCTACCTTCCTTCCTATATTCCTTCCTTCCTTCCTACCTACCTACATTTCTTCCTACCTTCCTTCCTACATTCATTCATTCCTTCTTTCCTACTTACCTTCCTTCTTTCCTATCTACCTTCCTCTCTCCCTACATTCCTTCCTTTCCTACCTACCTTCCTTCCTTCCTTCTTTCTTTCCTTCCTTCTTTCTTTCCTTCCTTCCTTTCATCTCATCCTTCCTTCCTTCATTCTGGTTTCTATAATATATATACACATATATAGTCACTGGACACTTTCCTAGAACTGCTGTTAGCTTCTGGAAGCTTGGTGTTGTGTGTCAGGGTGTGGCTGCTGTCAAAATGACAAATTATACCATCACTCACTACCCTTACTGCCTTTCAACACCCATGGGGTCCCATGCCTTCTTCCCCACCGTCCTTCCTTCTTTCCTTCCTTCCGTCCTTCCTTTCATTTTGTCCTTCCTTCTTTCCTTCCTTTCTTCTCGTCCTTCTGGATTTGTGATGGTGGACCTGTACTGTATTTTGAAGAGAGGTTACAAAGGTTGGTGAACGAATTTTGAGGGTTATCTAAAAGAAGGAAGTTAAAAGTGAACATAGGGAAAAGCAAAGTGATTAGGGTAACAAAAAATTATGTAATGAAAGATTGGAAGGAGGGAGTATTAACCCTTTGAGGGTCGACAGGCCCTCTCCGAAACTCGTTCTCAGGGTCGGCCAAATTTAAAAAAAAAAAAAAATTATTTTCTCTTATGAAAAGATAGAGAATCTTTTCCCAATCATAAAGACACCAAAAGTTTGAAATTTGATAGAAAACTTACGGAATTATGCTCTCGCAAAGTTAGCGGTCTCGGCGATGTTTACGCATCGGCGATTTTGCCCACTTTGAGCCCCATTTTCGCCCAATTTCACTGTACTAGTCGACAAAAAACATGAATATTTCGCTAGAACTCCATTTTTCTATCGAATGGGTGCAAGAAACCACCCATTTATGAAATTCAACTATCCAGTACAGTGGTCAGAATTTAGCAATTTTGCCAATTTCACACAAATTTCAAAAGATGCCAATTTCCGAATAGGGTCCAGAATAAACAAGAAAGACATTCCTGGCACTAAAATGACATTTCCTCTAGTCATTAGTCACGTCTCAAGGCCCCTCTTATATTCTTTTGCTTTCCACTTTGAATTTTTATTCTCACAAAAAATATAAGATTTACTGTTATGCAGACTACTGCATTAGTGTAAAAAATGGTATAAATATTATTGGTGCACTTGTGAAAGAATATTAGACTTACCAGTTGACGTGTGTTGCACGCTTGGCACGATTTGTTTACTTTTGAAGTTTGGTAAAAATCGAACATTTCTGCTACTTTGAGCTCAATTTCAAGGCACCTTTCATTGTAAAACCAGTCAAAATCATCTCGATTTCTGTAATATGTCTTCCATTCTATAAAATGAGACCAAGAAAACTAGAATACAACAATAAATACCATACGAAAATACACTGCAAAGTCGCTGATTTATTCCAAAAAAATGGTCAAAGTTTTTTTTTTCTCATTATGCACTGGGTGCTGCAGGATTTTTTTTAGACTGTGCACACTGACCACACAGACCCATTCTTTCATATGAAGGCCTACCAGCTTTCTCCCACTAGATTTGAGGCCGCTAGAATTTATGCGTACTAGTACGTCAAAAACCCCTACGCGCAAGACGTACTAGTACGACCAAAACCCTCAAAGGGTTAAGGAAGTGAATGTGTTCAGATACATATTTGAAAGTGAACTCTTTGGCAGATGGGTCTATGAAAGACAAGGTAAAACATATAACTGATGAGAGGAAAAAGGATGGGCAGTGCATTGAGCCATCTGTGGAGACCAGGAACTTAATCTGTGGAGGCAAAAGGGGAAATGTATGAGAGTATAGTGGTACCAACACTTTTATGGATATGAAGCATGGGTTGTGAATGTTGCAGTGAGGAGCAGGCTGGAGGCAGTGATGTCATAGTTGAGGGCAGTGTGTGGTGTGAATATGTTGAGAATTTGTAGTTTGACGATTAGAAGATAGAGGGCTGGGGAGGGGTTGTTGAAGTGGTTTGAGCATTTAGAGAGGATGGAGCAAAATAGGATGATATGGAGGGTGTATCTGGAGGGAAGGCAGAGTAGGGGTCATCTTAGGAAAAATTGGAGGGAGGGGGGTAAAGTGGGGGTTGTATGTGAAGGACTTGTACATCCTACAGGCTTGTGTGATAGTGTTAAATAAAGAGCGAATGGAGGCAAGTGCTTTTAATTACTTGACGTGCTGTTGGAGAGTGAGAAGGTAACATTTGTGAAGGGATTCAGGAAAACCAATTAGCTGGATTTGAGTCCTGAAGGTGGGAAGTACAGGCTTGCACTCTGAAGGAGAGATGGGGATATTTGCACTGTGGAGTTAGTGATGAGTAAAGTTGTTTTTTTTTGGGTCACCCTGCCTCGATGGGAGATGGTCGGTGCGTAAAAAAAAAAATTGTTCTTATCTGGGTTACACATTTTTTATTCCCAAAAGCTCTGAATGATCTACATAGTTAAAGAGCATTTTTAAATTTCAAAACTACCTACCTACCTTCCTTTCTGGTTAAGCTGTGAATTACCTTCGGCACATTCTCCCCCCCCCCTTGCAGTCTCTAATTTAGACTGACTTGTTACCTCTCTGATTTTTAAAAAATTTTGACTTCTGTTAGTCTCTTCTTTGGTGTTTGGCAAGCTTTATTTTTTTCCATGTTATCTTGTTCTTGAGTTTTGCCTCACTGCATTGTTCATTCACTTGTGGCTTCTTTCATTGTGCATGTCTTTGTAATTTCATTCTGATGACTGTCTACATCATTCTGTTTACTACAGTAGTAAAAGAAAGGATAATGAAATGAATGTTTAATATTTCAGGGTGTAAAAATGGTACGAGCAAGAGGAAATGCTAGAATGGATGCACAAGAGGTTAAAGTAAATGGAGAAGTATCTGAGCCTAAAGTATCTAAAGGTAGAGGTAGGAAACGGACACTTACGTCTAAGGCGCCACCTGAAACCAAAAAAATCAAAGGTAAGCATAATGTTGCTTAACATTACTGATGTACGGTTGAATGATGTGACATTCAAACTGAAGTACTGTACAAATTTATCTTCTCATATACTGCAGTATCATTTGTAAAGAATAATACACATGGATTACAATAAATTATTATTTGTGTTATTAAAACAAGGATTTATGGGATAGCTAATGGAATTGGTAATTGCTGATGAAATTCAAAGCCACATTGAATGATGAAGAATTAAGACACTATAGAAGAAACGTTTCACCACACAGTGGCTTCATCAGTCTTATACAAAGCAGGAAGGTATAAGGAGAGGAGGAGTTTGAGGTAATCAGTCCCTCAGCCTGGAGTCGATGTGTTCAGTCCATCAATCTTGTAGAAAGTACAGCACAGGGCCATAGTGGCTTATATACTGTAGTCGGGTGAGATGAAGCAAGAGGAGGCGGGGTCAAAGTGGAACCATCCACTAGTCTAAGTAGGTCTTCATCTAAAGATTGGACAAGTTTTGAAGAATTCTTTGTATCAAGATCCCATGATGATGCAGTGTCTGACAGATATGATGAATGGTTTTGAAAACCGACAAGTTGAAGAGTTAAGACACTTATGCAACACATTGTTGGTTTACAAAACTGATTTTCTCTTTGCTTGATGCATGGCTGACTGATAGGCAACATAGTTTTTGTTAATAGGGAGAAATCAGAATGGGTGTACCACAAGGGTCAGTATTGGAAGCCATCTCCCACTGAGATAGTGACCTGAATGAAAAACTTTTATGATCGCTCCGTCACTGTCTTGCCAGAGATGTGCCGGTATTAGTTCAAAACTACAAATATTGCCACCCACACAAGTAATATGCTGCCTTCAAGAAGGAACTGGACAGAATACTTAGTCGGTACCTGATCAGCCGGGCTGTGGTTCATATGTTGGACTATATGCAGCCAGTAGTAACAGCCTGGTTGATCAGGTTCTGATCCAGTGGGAGGCCTGGTCCACTGGGTAACCCCCAGAACACTCCAGTGTGACCCCCTCCTTTGGAGTGTAAGTGTTTTACTTCCCACCTCCAGTGCTCAAGTTTGGCTAACCAGTTTTCCTGAATCCCTTCATAAATTTTACTTTGCTTACACTCCAAAATCACAATCTGTAAAACTTAATTTCTCTGAGAAGATTGTTATTACTTGTTACCTGGCCTGTTGTGTTGGTTACTGGTTGTCAAAGGCACTTGCTGATAATGTGTGTGAGCATGAGTAACCTCTCACAATTGTGAAGTAGTGTTAATGTTGATATTTTTTTAGGTGCATGTGTAATACAACCTCTCCTCACTTAACGATGGAGTTTCGTTCCTAAGACCATGTCATTAAACGAATTTGTCGCTAAGTGAAGAGCATACTATAATGCTAGTGAGTTTGTGTCAGCCGTCTTTGATATTGTTTTAATGTCACCTTTGCACCATTTATAACATTTCTGGTGTATTTTTAAATGTTTATACAGTAGTGTACTGTATATTGAAACAGAATAGAGGAAATCAGCCCTATTATACATTATTTAGGTATGAATACTGGTCAGAGAGCCTGTCGTAAGTCCGAGGCGTCGGTTAACGAGTACGTCACTAAGTGAGGAGAGGCTGTATTAATATTTTAAAAAGTACCGGCTGGTGTTGACTTTTTTCACCTATATCAATACTGTAAAAGTTGTCAATACCCACTGATGCCAATACCAATACTTTGGTACATCCCTAGTAATTATGAATCTAGATCACAAGGTTTTAGATGTGAATAAGACACAATTGCAGCACTGGGAAATTTATGATGGAAATATTTTGCTCTCTGGAAGCATTGTCAGTCCAATATAGACTGAGAAAAACAGTATATTTAGGTTGAAGAAGGTCAGGTGTAAAGCATGTGGATGCTTGTAGTCTGGAGAGATTTTTTTTTTCATGTTGTCCGCCTCCCACCAAGGCAGGGTGACCCAAAAAAAAAGAAAGAAAATCCCCAAAAAGAAAACACTTTCATCATTCTACACTTTCACCTCACACATAATCACTGTTTTTGCAGAGGTGCTCAGAATACAACAGTTTAGAAGCATACACATATAAAGATACACAACATATCCCTCCAAACTGCCAATATCCCAAACCCCTCCTTTAAAGTGCAGGCATTGTACTTCCCATTTCCAGGACTCAAGTCCGGCTATATAAAAATAACTGGTTTCCCTGAATCCCTTCACTAAATATTACCCTGCTCATGCTCCAACAGCTCATCAGGTCCCAAATATCATATCTAACACACTCATGGACACTTGCTGCAAGTCCAAGCCCCTCGCCCACAAAACAACCTTTACCCCCTCCCTCCAACTTTTTCGATGACGACCCCTACCCCGCCTTCCTTACCCTACAGATTTATACACTGTCCATGTCATTCTGCTTTGATCCATTCTTTCTAAATGACCAAACCACCTCAACAACCCCTCTTCAGCCCTCTGACTAATACTGTACTTTTATGAACTCCACACCTCCTAATTTCCACACCCGAATTTTCTGCATAATATTCACACCACACATTGCCCTTAGACAGGACATCTCCACTGCCTCGAACCGCCTCTTCGCTGCAGCATTTACAACCGAAGCTTCATACCCATATAAGAGTGTTGGTACTACTATACTTTCGTAGATTCCCTTCTTTGCCTCCATAGATAACGTTTTTTGTCTCCACATATACCTCAGTGCACCACTCGCCTTTTTTCCTTCATCAATACTATGGTTAACCTCATCCTTCATAAATCGTCTGCTGACACGTCAACTCCCAAATATCTGAAAACATACACTTCTTTTACTCTCCATATACTCTACTCTTCGTAAAACACTTCTGCTTTGTAAAAACCTCTCATAAGCTACCTTTTTCTCTTTTATCACACCCTTTACTTCATTCCACCAATCACTTCTCTTTCCTCCTGCACCCACCCTCCTATAACCACAAACTTCTGCCACACATTCTAATACTGCATTTTTAAAACTATTCCAACCCTCTTCAACCCCTCCACTACTCATACTTGCACCAGCCCACCTCTCTGCCGATAGTTGCGTATATCTCACCCGAACTTCCTCCTCCCTTAGTTTATACACTTTCACCTCCCTCTCACTTGTTGTTGTCATTTTCCTCTTGTCCCATCTACCTCTTACTTTAACTGTAGCTACTACTAAATAATGATCCGATATATCAGTTGCCCCTCTATAAATGTGTACATCCTGGAGCCTACCCATCAACCTTTTATCCATCAATACATAATCTAATTAACTACTTTCATTACGTGCTCTATCATACCTTGTATATTTATTTATCCTCTTTTTCATAAAATATGTATTACTTATTACCAAACCTCTTTCTACACATAGATCAATTAAAGGCTCCCCATTTTCATTTATCCCTGGCACCCCAAATTTACCTACTACTCCCTCCACAACATTTTTGCCCACTTTAACATTGAAATCCCCAACCACAAGTACTCTTACACTTGGTTCAAAACTCCCCACGCATTCACTCAATATTTCCCAAAATCTCTCTCCCTCCTCTTCACTTCTATCTTCTCCAAGTGCATATACACGTACTATAACCCACTTTCCACATCCAACCTTTATTTTACTCTACATAATCCTTGATTATATAGTCTGAAAATCTCCCCATGAATGGATACTAACATTCCAATCTTACTGATAGCTGTTTGGTAAATATATATGGAACCAAAATATCATGGGGATTTGTAATGGATTCTAGGTTCAAAAGGTGTACAATTATCATTGGATAGCTCACAATGCATTAAAGTCTAGAAGAATTTTAATTAACTAAATAATAAACACATTTTGCCTATTAGGAAGGGGGTATAAAATTAAATGTTTTATTTTTAAATAATTTAAATAATTAAAGAGGTCATTGTAACAGATCTAATAAAACATTAATCTCATATGAAAATATCCTTGAAAAAAATATAAAAAACCTAAGAGCTATCCCTAATATAACTAATCCAAACAGTGAAGCTTTTTGCATTCCAAGGCTTGCAACCATACCTATGCCTTTTCGGTTCCTGGAATCTCTGGTAGCAAAAACTTCAGCAATCCTTCCTAGTTGTCCCGATTCCCCACATCCACACGTAAACACACGACCATCATGAGCCAGCATTGCCAGGTGATTGTTGCCTGATGAGATCTTTATAACAGCAATGTCACTTAAAATTTGTCTAGGTGTTTTCTGTAAATGCCCTTTATCTAAGAATCCTAAGGGACCATTGTTATCCTGAAAAAAAAAATGTATACAATGGAAGAGACTGGTGTATAAATTAGGCCAAATTACTAAAACAAGTCTATTAAAATAAACCTTCGATATAATAGACTAACAGTAGGGGGAGGGATTATTCTCCGAGTGTCCATTGGGTTATTCTCCGAGTGTCTACTAAATCAGAATAATGTAAGAGCAATACAGGTCCTCCATCACAAATCCGGTATCATTCGGAAATGTAGTGTGCCAGATTACTGAGTTTGCCGGATTACAGAGTGGTTAGGCTTAGAATACACATCCAGCCTTTATTTTACTCCCAACATCCTTGAATTAATACATTTATAATCCCTCTTTTCCTGCCATAGCTTATCCTTCAACATCATTGCTACTCCTTCTTTAGCTCTAACTCTATTTGAAACCCCTGACCTAATGCCATTTATTCTTCTCCACTGAAACTCTCCCACCCCCTTCAGCTTTGTTTCACTTAAAGCCAGGGCATCCAGCTTCTTCTCATTCATAACATCCACAATCATCTCTCTTATCATCTGTGCAACATCCACGCACATTCAGACATCCCACTCGGACAATTTTTTATTCTTTTTAGTAATTATTACAGGAAAAGGGGTTACTAGCCCATTGTTCCCGGCATTTTAGTTGACTTTTACAACATGCATGGCTTACGGAGGAAAGATTCTTATTCCTCTTCCCCATGGATATAAAAGGAAAAGTAATAAGAACAAGAACTATTAAGATAAACTAAAAAAAAAACTCAGATGAGTATGTATAAATAAACATGTACATGCATGTGTAGTGTGACCTAAGTGTAAGTAGGAGTAGCAAGACGTACCTGTAATCTTGCATATTTATGAGACAGACAAAAGACACCAGCAATCCTACCATCATGTAAAACAATTACAGGCTTTTGTTTCACACTCACTTGGCAGGACGTTAGTACCTCCCTGAGTGGTTGCTGTCTACCAGGAACTATTCAAGGTCACCTGATTACTGTATTTTCTTAGGGTAATATTAATTTAGCCAAGATTCCAAACAAGGTAAACTGCCAGTGTTCTAGTTGACTATTGGATGTGAGAATTGATGCTTACTCCAACACTTTTGTTTTTATGAGTGTTTTTCTTAATCCTTAAACTACCACATTTGTTGATCAATGGGTATGCATATACTGCCACACACAGATTCAAGTTTAAATTCTAGCGCCCTCAAAATGGCCACAATTGCGAATGTTAGGCCTGTTCAGGATAAAGTAGGCCTATGTCATTGGTGTGTGCACCTACAAAACAAAAATTCCTATGCCACGCAAGGCATTGTGGGAACAGTTTGCCTGAATGTACCATACCAACATGTCTCATCATTGACATCCCCTCGCTCCAGGGACTACAGTGGAGCCTTGGTACTCAAACGGCTCCACACTCGAACAATTCGGCATTCGAACGTTTTGTTCTGTTAACAAATTGCTTAGTAGTCGACTGCTCGGCACTCTACCAAACAAACACGACCTGCCAGAACTTCACTGTAAACCATTTCATGTTTCTTTGCATTTTTTAGTATTTTTTTTATATTGTATAAATAAGTCACCATGGGGCCTAAGAGGGTTAGTAATAGCCAACCATAAAGAATATTGGTTGAGAAAAATTTATTCTGTACCCGAACAACCTTCTGGAACCAATTAAGTTCAAATGCCGAGGTTCCACTATATTGGTCATTTGCTATTTGGCCAGACTGATTCTGGAGTTGTATGAATATGATAGTGCTGCTGTCACTACAGATGCCCCATCGAACAGTATGTACCAAGCAAACTCAAATGCTTTGGTGTCAAATTGTTTGTCATAGTAACTTCGAGACTTGTTTTGTCATTGATGTTAACATGTACACAGGAAGCACAACACGCAAAGATACTGAAGAGTTACTAAGAATCTCAGGTGATATTGTCAAGAAAATGATGGAAGTAAATGGTACAGACATATGTGAAACAGTTGGGACAACAAGGAAGCTCATGCCAAAAATAAGGACACTAAATAAGAAAAAAAAAATGCAGGTATTTGTTGATGACGACGTCATCAACAAATACCTGCATTGTGTTAATCATTGGCATGATTAACGCAGTGTGACAGTCTTGACAACTATTCTCAAAAGATGGGCAGGAAAAACAGAAATACAGGTGGAGACATTGAAAAACTAATTGCAGTGATTGATTACACAAGTAATATGCATTTGATAGACAGATGATGATGTTATGCTGGATGCATACAATATGTACCTGATGAAGACTGGCAATAGACCAACCTACCAGAAATTTAAAGTCGTTGTTCATTCTCTGTATTGTATTGACAAATCTCCCAGTGAGAGAAATATTTCATGATAAATGCCCTAGTGCTGTTCTTTTGCCTTATTTATATACTTGTTGGTACAGCATTTGATACCACTTTGACGAATATAAAAAAAAATTAGTTATACTGTAATTATTTTTGTAGGTCTTTAGTTTGGAAAGCTCTGTTTATTTAACTTAGCAAAGTAGATTCCTGGTGTACATGGTCCTCACTGTAAATGTATGCATTGCTACATCAGCAACAACAGCATTTTCCTGTCATATCTGCCTGGCAGTAAAAATGATGCACAACCTTTTGGCACAGTTATGAGGCAAAGCACACACATTCCTTAGTGCTTTTCTTTTGCAAGCTGGTGGTTAACCCCTTGACTGTCGCAACCCCCAATCCTGAGGTGTCTTCTGGTGTCGCAAAATTTCAGAAAAAAAAAATTATTTTTTCTGAAATGATAGAGAATCTTTTCCTGATTGTAATGACACCAAAAAAAAAAAAAAAAAAAATTTGATGGAAAACTGGCGGAATTACGCTCTCACAAAGTTAGCGACCTCGGTGATATTTATAAATCGGCGATTTCGCCAACTTTGAGCCCTATTTTCAGCTAATTCCATTGTTCCAGTCAACCAAACTCATAGCTATTTCTTTAGAACTCCGTTTTTTCTATCGATTGAGTACAAGAAAATGCCCATTTACCGATTTCAACTACCCAATAACTTGATCAGAAATTTGCAATTTGGCCAATTTCATGAAAATTAAAAAATATGACAATTTCAAAATAAGGTCCAGAATGATGCAGACATTCCTGGCTCTAAAATAACATTTTCTTTGTTGATCAGTCACGTCACCAGGCCCCTCTGATATTACTCTTGCTTTCTATTTTGCATTTTTATTCAAACAAAAAATAGAAGATTTACTGTTATGCAGACTACTGCAATATTGTAATAATTGTATAAATAATGTCAACCCATTCATGACTGAATATTAGAATAGCTAGTTTAACATTTATTGGACAGTGACATAATTTGTTTACTTTTGAGCATTGGCAAAAATCAAACATTTCCCCTACTTGAGCTCCATTTCCAGGTTCTTTTTATAGTAAAACCAATCAAAATCACCTCTATTTCTATAATGTGTTTTCCATTCTGTCCAATGAGACCAAGAAAACGAGAATACAACCATAAATACTATACGAAAATACACCACAAAGTCGGCATTTTAATTAAAAAACTTTTTTTTTTTTTTTCATTATGCACTGTGTGCTCCAGGATTTTTTTTATATGATGCACACTGACCACACAGACCCATTCTCTCACATGTGGGCCTACCAGCTTTCTCCTGATTGATTTGAAGCTGCTAGAATTTATGGGTATATATACGTCAAACACGGTACCTCGTAAGACGTATATATACGACCGAAGCAGTCAAAGGGTTAAACAAGGTACTTTTTTGAACTGAGTAGAATAAGAATAGGTTTAACTTTAATGAGACTGGGACATGTAATTAGATATATTTTTTTCTGTATGCCTGGAAAACTTTGTGATTTGCATTCTGCTATGCACTACGATCATGAGTACTTTTGATTATATTGATAGTGTGCTGTAATTGAAAGATTTTGAAGTTTTCTTATTTCTCCTGTTATTCCTTCATATGTTTACAGATGCCATTGGTGAAAAGCACAAAACTTGCAGAGATTTTTGCTTTCTACTGTGATGTCAATCTGATTTCATATTGTTTTTTACACAGTGACCTTAGAAGCCCCAAATGTGGAAAATGGTGTGGTGCTCACAGTTGGCATGGGTGACGTTGGCCAACTTGGATTAGGCCCAGACGTTGAGGAGAAGACTCGACCAGCTGTTGTACCTGCTCTTAGTGACATTGTTGCTATTGCAGCAGGTGGCCTTCATTCAGTATTTTTGGATACGGCTGGCAAGGTGGGAATCTCTTGTTACTAATTGTGCTAAGTTGTTTATTGTATAAGCAGTATATTACAGTTTTTCCATGCAGCATATGCTGGTAATTTTTTCTGTTGTGTCTAGTTGAGATCATATACAGTGGTACCTTGACTTACGAGTTTAATTCGTTCTGTAACCGAGCTCATAACTCAGTTTCCTTTTTTTTTTTTTTTTTTTTTGTTTTTTCAACAAGTTGGCCGTCTCCCACCAAGGCAGGGTGACCCAAAAAAGAAAGAAAATCCCCAAAAAGAAAATAATTTCATCATCATTCAACACTTTCATCACACTCACACATTATCACTGTTTTTGCAGAGGTGCTCAGAATACAACAGTTTAGAAGCATATACCTATAAAGATACACAACATATCCCTCCAAACTTCCAATATCCCAAACCCCTCCTTTAAAGTGCAGGCATTGTACTTCCCATTTCCAGGACTCAAGTCCGACTATATGAAAATAACCGGTTTCCCTGAATCCCTTCACTAAATATTACCCTGCTCACACTCCAACAGATCGTCAGGTCCCAAGTACCATTCGTCTCCATTCACTCCTATCTAATACGCTCTTGCACGCTTGCTGGAAGTCCAAGCTCCTCGCCCACAAAACCTCCTTTACCCCCTCTCTCCAACCCTTTCGAGGATGACCCCTACCCCGCCTTCCTTCCCCTATAGATTTATATGCTTTCCATGTCATTCTACTTTGATCCATTCTCTCTAAATGACCAAACCACCTCAACAACCCCTCTTCTGCCCTCTGACTAATACTTTTATTAACTCCACACCTTTTCCTAATTTCCACACTCCGAATTTTCTGCATAATACAGTGGACCCCCGGTTAACGATATTTTTTCACTCCATAAGTATGTTCAGGTGCCAGTACTGACCGAATTTATTCCCATAAGGAATATTGTGAAGTAGATTAGTCCATTTTAGACCCCCAAACATACACGTACAAACGCACTTACATAAATACACTTACATAATTGGTCGCATTCGGAGGTAATCGTTATGCGGGGGTCCACTGTATTTACACCACACATTGCCCTTAGACAGGACATCTTCACTGCTTCCAACCGTCTCCTCGCTGCTGCATTTACCACCCAAGCTTCACATCCATATAAGAGTGTTGGTACTACTATACTTTCATACATTCCCTTCTTTGCCTCCATAGATAAAGTTTTTTGACTCCACATATACCTCAATGCACCACTCACCTTTTTTCCCTCATCAATTCTATGATTAATCTCATCCTTCATAAATCCATCCGCCGACACGTCAACTCCCAAGCCCCTGAAAACATTCACTTCTTCCATACTCCTCCTCCCCAATTTGATATCCAATTTTTCTTTATCTAAATCATATGATACCCTCATCACCTTACTCTTTTCTATGTTCACTTTCAACTTTCTACCTTTACACGCATTCCCAAACTCATCCACTAACCTTTGCAATTTTTCTTTAGAATCTCCCATAAGCACAGTATCATCAGCAAAAAGTAACTGTGTCAATTCCCATTTTGAATTTGATTCCCCATAATTTAATCCCACCCCTCTCCCGAACACCCTAGCATTTACTTCTTTTACAACCCCATCTGTAAATATATTAAATAACCATGGTGACATTACACATCCCTGTCTAAGACCTACTTTTACCGGGAAGTAGTCTCCCTCTCTTCTACACACCCTAACCTGAGCCTCACTATCCTCATAAAAACTCTTTACAGCATTTAGTAACTTACCACCTATTCCATATACTACTTGCAGCATCTGCCACATTGCTCCTCTTTCCACTCTATCATATGCCTTTTCTAAATCCATAAATATAATAAAAACTTCCCTACCTTTATCTAAATACTGTTCACATATATGCTTCAATGCAAACACTTGATCTACACATCCCCTACCCACTCTGAAACCTGCTTGCTCATCCTCAATCCTACATTCTGTCTTACCTCTAATTCTTTCAATTATAACCCTACCGTACACTTTTCCTGGTATACACAGTAAACTTATTCCTCTATAATTTTTACAATCTCTTTTGTCCCCTTTTCCTTTATATAAAGGGACTATACATGCTCTCCGCCAATCCCTAGGTACCTTCACCTCTTTCATACATTTATTAAACAAAAGTACCAACCACTCCAACACTATATACCCTCCTGCTTTTAACATTTCTGTCATGATCCCATCAGTTCCAGCTGCTTTACCCCCTTTCATTCTACATAATGCCTCGCGTACCTCCCCTACACTTACATTCTGCTCTTCTTCACTCCTAAAAGATGGTATACCTCCCTGGCCACTGCATGAAATTACTGCCTCCCTTTCTTCCTCAACATTTAAAAGTTCCTCAAAATATTCTTGCCATCTTCCTAATACCTCCCTCTCCCCATCTACTAACTCCCCTACTCTGTTTTTAACTGACAAATCCATACTTTCCCTAGGCTTTCTTAAATTGTTTAACTCCAAAAATTTTTCTTATTTTCATTAAAATTTCTTGACAGTGCCTCTCCCACTCCTTCATCTGCTCTCCTTTTGCACTCTCTCACCACTCTCTTCACCTTTCTTTTACTCTCCATATACTCTGCTCTTCTTATAACACTTATGCTTTGTAAAAACCACTCATAAGCTACCTTTTTCTCTTTTATCACACACTTTACTTCATCATTCCACCAATCACTCCTATTTCCTCCTGCCCCCACCCTCCTATAACTACAAACTTCTGCCCCACATTCTAATACTGCATTTTTAAAACTATTCCAAACCTCTTCAACCCCCCCACTACTCATCTTTGCACTAGCCCACCTTTCTGCCAATAGTCGCTTATATCTCACCCGAACTTCCTCCTCTCTTAGTTTATACACTTTCACCTCTCTCTTACTTGTTGTTGCCACCTTTGTCTTTTCCCATCTACCTCTTACTCTAACTGTAGCTACAACTAAATAATGATCCGATATATCAGTTGCCTCTCTATAAACATGTATATCCTGAAGCCTACCCATCATCCTTTTATCCACCAATACATAATCTAACAAACTACTTTCATTACGTGCTACATCATACCTTGTATATTTATTTATCCTCTTTTTCATAAAATTTGTATTACTTATTACCAAATCTCTTTCTACACATAGCTCAATTAAAGGCTCCCCATTTACATTTATCCCTGGCACCCCAGATTTACCTACTACTCCCTCCATAACATTTTTACCCACTTAACCCTTTCAGGGTCCAAGGCCCAAATCTGGAGTCACGCACCAGTGTCCAAGAATTTTCAAAAAAAAAATTTGTTATTTTTTCTTATGAAATCGTAGAGAATCTTTTTGTGAAGGTAATAAAACAAAAAGTACGAAATTTGGTGGAAAATTGACGAAATTATGCTCTCGCGAATTTTGATGTGTCAGCGATATTTACGAATCGGCGATTTTGCCGACTTTGACTCCCATTTTAGGCCAATTACATTATTCCAATCAACCAAATTCTTAGCTATTTCACTAGTATTACTTCTATTCTATCGATTGAGCACAAGAAATCGCCAAGTCAACTGTTTCAACTACAAAATAAAGTGATCGGAAATTGTTAATTTGGCCAATTTAACACAAAGTTCAAAATATTCCAATTTCAAAATAGGGTCCAGAATAAACAATGTAGGCATTCCTGGCACTAAACTAACATTTCCTCTGTTCATTAGTTTATATTTTGAGGCTTTACAAATAAATTCCATTTTGATTTTTTATTCACATAATGAATTTTTATTCACACCAAAAAATAGAAGATTTACTGTTATGCAATACTGTAATAATTGTATAAATATCATCACCATATTTGTGAATGTATATTAGACCCACCAGCTGACGTGTATTAGACGTGTGAGGTCGTTTGTTTACTCTTGAATATCGGCAAAAATTTAACATTTCCGCTACTTTGAGCTCAGTTTCAAGCCATTTCCAGTGCTAAAACCAATCAAAATCATCTCTTATTTCTGTAATATGTCTTCCATTCTATCAAATGAGACCAAGAAATCGCAAATACAACTATAAAAAACATGCGAAAAAACACTGCAAAGTTGCTGTTTTAATCGAAAAATCATGATTTCAGTTTTTTTCTCTCATTATACACAGTGTGCTGCAGGATCTGTTTTATGTGGTGCACACATACCACATAGATGTATTCTCTCATATCTAGGCCCAAATGTACCACTCACAGTTTATCAGAGTGAGCTGAGCTCATGGCGTAGATCTACGGTTTGGACACTCACCGTAAAGCCGTAGATCTACGGGACGGACCCTGAAAGGGTTAAGCATTGAAATCCCCAACCACCATTACTCTCTCACTTGATTCAAAACTCCCCACGCATTCACTCAACATTTCCCAAAATCTCTCTCTCTCCTCTACACTTCTCTCTTCTCCAGGTGCATACACGCTTACTATAACCCACTTTTCACATCCAATCTTTATTTTACTCCACATAATCCTAGAATTAATACATTTATAGTCCCACTTTTCCTGCCATAGCTTATCCTTCAACATTATTGCTATTCGTTCTTTAGCTCTAACTCTATTTGAAACCTCTGACCTAATCCCATTTATTCCTCTCCATTGAAAGTCTCCTTGTATGTATATCAAATCAATTTTCCTTGTTGAAACTAACTGAAATGCAATTAATCTGTTCCAGCCCCCGAAAAACCACCCCATTTTTTTTTTTAACAAGTCGGCCGTCTCCCACCGAGGCAGGGTGATCCCAGAAAAGAAAGAAAATTCCCCAAAATAAAATATTTTCATCATCATTCAACACTTTCACCTCATACATAATCACTGTTTTTGCAGGGGTGCTCAGAACACAACACCTTAGAAGCATATACCTATAAAGATACACAACATATCCTTCCAAACTGCCAATATCCCAAACCCCTCCTTTAGAGTGCAGGCATTGTACTTCCCATTTCCAGGACTCAAGTCCGGCTATATAAAAATAACCGGTTT